GACATGTCATCAACTACCTTGGCAAATCAACATTTATATATACCTCAATATTTTGTTCATTTGTATTTTAGTCAACATTTAATCAAGTGCAGCCAAGTAAGTATGTTCTTCGATGGAAGGCACTAATGTAAAGAGAATGCGATCCATGTAGTTGTCCACGGTATTGCCAACATTCAAGTTTAAATCAAAGAAAGGGGATCGAAGAAGATCTGTTCGTCCTGGATCATCATACACGAATCTGTGATCATGTTTCGGATCGGCCATTCATGGAGGCGATGACGGCTTGAAGATAATCCTTGTATGTGTAAGGCTTAGAGGGGGAGAGAAGTGGAGGGAGTTTGGAGAAGTTGAAAATTTCGGCTAGGGTTCGGAGGGGGAGTTTGTTCCATAGAATTAGTGAGGGAAGTGGAGGGGAATAACTTAAGGAAAATCTGAAATTTAATTCCATATTTTCTAGGGAGGGAAGGATTAATTTTGAGTTTCAAAATTATCCCCAAACTTGGGCTAGAAGGAGCGGCAGATAAGGAGCTAAGGGAGAAGATTTAATTAGGAGTTAATGAGCAAATTGGAGAGAGAAAAGGGGGAGGAAGGAGGGTCTGCCCTATACAGAGGAGAGATAGGTATCTAGGTTCAATGCATGTGGGTCATATGTATTTAATTGGATATTTGAATTAAATTTGAATTTAATTTCAAATTTAAAGCAATTGGGAAGCTTCCTAACTAAGGATTAGCAAAGAGAAAAGTATTTGAAATTCAAATGTAAAATTGATTTCAAATAAAGATACTTTTCAAATTGATATGAGTTATTTTAGGAAAATAATTAAGAGAGATTTTGAATTTTGAAATTCAAAATTCATGGGGGTTTGGAAGGGTGGCCGGCGACTAGAGGGGCCAATGGGAGGTTGGCGGCTATGGGATTGGATGGCCAGCAGGTAGCTAGGGGCCGGGCCAAGGGAGGCCGTCGGTAGGGGTATAGGGTTTTTGGGTAGGGAAGAAGCAAAGGGAAAGGGGGTGAAGGGAAATCAAGAGGTGGCCGGTGGCATGGGGAAGAAAGAAGCAAAAAAGAAATAAGAAGGGAATAGAAGAAAGGTAAAATCGAGAGCTCAAACTTCCAGCGGCTATCGGGTATTATGTTGGTCCTCTCCTATGGTTCTTTCTTCTCTCTGAAGCACACAAGCAACAAGAGCAAAGAAAAGTTGAATATTTTTATTGATACATCATTAACCTCATACAAAACAAAAGACCTATATATATAAGCCTCAATAATAAAGAAAAGAAGAAAGGCTCAAATGCCCTCACTGCTATAAAAAGACACCCTACATATAGGGGTAACATAGGAAAACTGAAATGCAAAATAAACAAAATATAAAATACATCAAAAGTAAATACTCCGAAATCATAGCCGTCAATCTACGATTTCACCTATGGTACACATGTCTAAATCAATGGCCGATGTCCTCATCAGATATATAATATATTTTAAAAAGATATAAAATGTCTCAAAAAATAGCCATAATTTATTATTATTTCAGCATAAATTTTATAATAAATATTTTCATTAAATTAAATTTTATTTGTAAAAACAATCTATATCTTCAGAGAATTTTACTTCACATTTTATGATAATTCTATTTATAACATATATTTTCTCAATACTTTACTATTTTATCATAAATTTCATAACAAATATCTTTATTATTCCTTTACTATCCGAAACCAAAATCACAATTAAATAACTTTTAACTAAATTAGAAAAATCATATCAACTTTTTGAGCTCATTCTCACATAATTTACCCATATTTTTTTCCAATCAAAGGTTCCTTTCACCTAAGTTCTTATTTAAATTATAGTTATTTCATATTTGGAAACATTACCATCATTTTTTTATTTTAACATAATCTTGTAAAATGTAATCGCTTATAAACTTCAGCCTATTATCTTTTTTTTATTTTTTAATTTGAATTTAAAGTAAAAAAATACAAATTTTAATAAGAGAAATTTAATCTATAATTTTTCATAACAATTATAAAACTTTTATGAATTAAATAAATTGGCCCCATTCATACGTTTAAAATTAAAAAGGGTGATTTTATCTGAAAATAAACCTTAATATAATATTTTAATATCTCAATAATATCAACATAAATACATTAAAAAAAATATTTTATTTATAAATTAATATCAATGATATTTTTAATATGATTTAAGATTCTTAATATCACATAAATAAATATTAAAAATTAAAATATTACATTAAGGTTAAAAACTAAAAAGCAAAATCATTAGGCCAATCAGGCCACAGTAGACAAACACTTGGCTGTACAAAGTAATAAAGTATTTAACGCTTTTGACGTTATAAATAAATTATTCGTTCCCATAGTTCCCGAGCCCTTTGGAACACTTATGACGTATCAATCAACTCATTTAGTCATTTGTATATAATTACGCTGTTGATTAAGCGTCCGTTTGGTACAGTTGCAAGTTTTTATAAAAATGATTATGAAGAAATTTTTTTTTTTTAAATGGATGTAAACAACAGTCATAGCACCAATATTTTTATAGCAACTTTCTAGTAAAAAAAATTATGCAAAAATTTATAATAATGATCAAAACATTTTTTTTATTGTTTTCTACAGAAGTTTTTTTTTTTAATAAAAAAAAAAACAGTGAAAGATAATGATAAAAAACTATCCCAAATAAAATCTAAGTTTTTTTCTCCCCACCATCTTCACAAACAAATTTTATGAAATATTACAACCGTCCTAAATAGGGCTGCAAGCGAACCAAACGTTCGACGAGCTACTCGTTGTTCGGTTCGATTAAAGCTCGTTTGCGATTGTTTTATTAACTAAACAAACAAACTTGAACAATATTTTAAATACTCGATTATTAAATAAACAAACTTGAACACTAATGCGTTCGGCTCATTTATGTTCACGAACAACATCATCTGAAGTTCGTGAACAAGCTCGACATTAAGCTCGATTAATGTTTGATTTTGAACTAGTGAATAAGCTCGATAAAAATAATTATTATTTGACTATAGAATTAATAAATATAAATAATTATTACCTTTGTTACGTAGACAATTGCTTTTATTATAAACGTGTTTGTTTATAGATATGTTCATGAACGTGTTTATTTGATAGTTAAAAAATTCGTTAAATATGTTGGCAAACAAGCTCGATAAATACTAAACGAACGAACATGAACTGAACATGAATCGAACATGAACACTCCTTAATTTAAATGAACCAAACATGAACACAAACGCTAAAGCTCGAACAAACATGTTTGGTTCAGTCTCCATCTTATAGGAGATTTTTATCAATAAAATTAGCTGATGCTCAAATGGTACAAGACAAAAGGCAAAAAAATATTAATTGCTATGTAAAAGCCAAACAAAGCCAATATGAATGCGCAAACTCGTTCTCTTCTCAGCTAATGGGCTTATTTAGATTTTCCTTCTTTATTATACTACTTCAAGTTGACTGTAAGAAAAGATCAATAAGAATTGTGCCAAGTTCCGCATGCATAAATCCAACTAGTTATAGGATTATTATGGACAATACAATATTTAGCTTTATGCACCCAAACATCGCATTCATGATAAATAAACAATACCAATTTAAGCACCACTACACTAATGATCATTGAGCTATAGCAAAATATTGTTCTTTCTATATGACAATTGATCATGAAATTATCTTTCATCATGCCCCCCCATGCATCCATTTCATCATGCCCCATGCATCCATTCGACTCATGCATACTCTGAAGCCAACTGGGCAAGAGACAGAGATGGCATCACCCAAAATAAGCACATCATGTATCTTGACTAAAATCCCATCACTTACAGTGTCAAAAAACAAAAATATTATTGCATCTTATACATTCCTTGAACTTAATAGAAAAAGCTATGAGTCATCATTCAACCCTTCTAAAAGGATAATATCTTTCAAATATTCTCTAATTATTTATAACATCCAATATCATGATGCCATCCAAAGGAAAGCATCCTAACTACTTTTGACTAGGTTAACTATTGACCTTATCTCTCATTTTGCCCAGCAATTCCTTTTTTTTTAGACTTGGTAAAGTTAGCATACATATTTAGGAAAAAAATTTGACAAAAAAGATCTGCCTATAGACCAATGATTTTCAAATAAAAATATGATTATGCTCAAAGGAATTGTAATTTCATGATTTATGCTTCTATAATCTACGTGTAATAGTGGGCAATAATACTTTCAAATGTCGATTATTGAATCACTTTAAAATGACAGCATTGAACACCATGCATCTGGACTAAAACCCCATCTCTTTTAGTGTCATGAAACAAAAGTATTGCAGCATATCACATAATCCATAAACTTAATAAGATAAGATGCGGGTCAACATTTAATTCTTCTATAAGGGAAAGATCTTTTAAATATTCTCAAATTACTTATAATATGCAATAATTTAATCATCCCAGTGAAAGCATCCTAATTACTTTTGACTAGGTTAACTATTGACCTTCATGGCCTCTCATTTTACCCAACATTCTCCTTTTTTAGCTTTTGTAAAGTTTGCATGCATATTTAAAAAAAAAAAAAGAAAGATTTAGTGAAGGACAATAATCTTTAAATAAAAGTATGAAGTGCATTTAATTATGATAATCTGAATAGTGATATCAGTCTAAGCAAAACGGGGTGGAACGATATTTTCAAATCTCCATTATTGAATTACTTTAAGATGGATGACCAAAGACTCCTACATCAAATTTAGCAAGTCAAGCAGCAACCTTAAAGCGTCAATCTAAATTCGCTAATCCAATTCAAATTACACCCAACACCAATCAGTGGCCATCCTATGCATAATTTCAATCTCCAAAAACACAAATCTTAGAGCCCAAAGGGTCCATCTATCCATATAGCCCACAAATCCAAAACGATCCAGCACGGATATAAAAAATAAGATGCTTTGCTTCTTAACCCTCTAATTAACCATAGTCAAAAATGGAATCTCTTCTATTCATCATCCATATCAAAAAAGAAAGTACACGTATCACCCTCACAAATAAAGTGGAGTTGATAGCTATGGTGACAAAATCATTTTTTTGTTTGGTATAGATCACAAAGAAAGTTTAATAAGCCAAAAAGATATATATTAAAAACAAAATACAAGGTTAAACTTGCTAACCTCCACTTCTACAGATCCTTCAAATCAGTTCCCCTTGATGGCTCTAATGACAAAATCTAGGATTGCTTTCACTGCATTTCTTTCAGCTTCGTCCTGATTTGACCCAGAAGACTCTAGAAACTTCTTTCCAATCTTGAAAGAGTGATCGCCTCCATCGATGACATGTAAATTACTCATGCATTTCATTTTCTTGATCGTAGCTTCCAGTTTGTCCAGAGGACACAAACTATCTTTACTTCCCTGTATAATTGAATTTACTAAGGTAAAAATTAGAGTAATAGAAGAAAAAGCCAATATTACCAAGTATTAGAAGAATCTATGCTGAACTTGGATGACCAAAAGAGAAACAAAAAACGCTCATACCTGCACAAACATAGTTGGAATTGTTAGCTTCAGCAACGTTTCATCACGTACTGATCCATTCATACCCTGGATTACAACTAATGCATGACAGTTGTGTTTACTAGGATTCCAACAAATGTAATAAAAAGATGCACAAGATAGGATTGAACAATAATGCAATCTTCGCAAAAGTTAAAGGAAAATAATGATGAATCATAATGGCTGACTATACTGATATGGGAGATTTGGAGCTTATCACCTCTACCAAAGTAGGGAGCAATTTATAACGGTTAACTGATATGGTTAAGGAAGACCATGATAATGGCAATCAACACATCATCTACGAGTTTGTGTAGGAAATTAACTATTCCATTATCATACCTCAAAGAAGAGCTTCGAATGCCGTTTGAATAAAAAATATTTCATTAAAAAGAAAGGAAATTTAATCATCACACTGTATCACAAAACTAGTTCCATCTGTGCTTAGCAAATGATTTGTTGTCAAGTAAAAAACCAAAAGGAAGACAATAATATGCAAAGGGTTTGTAGTTTTTGCAGCAATTTGATCAGATATAAAAAGTATATTAAACACACGACATCTTTATTTCATGGGGAAAGAACTGCCTCCATTCATTTAACTAATTTGCATTTTCACAAAAAAAAAAGGTGTGGCATTTCGAAATGTAATGCGGAGCACAACAAAGCAACATTGGCATCAGTGAAATACATGGTGTTGAATACCCTGGGGTCACGCACCTCCATGGGACCATATAAATCCAATGTCTTGTTGCTTACTTCATGTGGAGTGATTAAATTGCCTGAAGGTTTTAGCATGGTGGATTTCTCTATTTGAGAAAAAAGAGAATATTTGTTCTAGATTATTTGGTTAGACTATCATTCTTGAATATACATCCAGGTGTTTTTAAAATTACAAAATCCGAAAAGCTAAAAAATAAATGATTTTTGTACAATCATCTAACGGATAAGTAGTTTGGTAACAATGGCAAGCCTCCAATGTATGCATAGCAATGAATTGCACTCAAAACATAGGACAAATAAAAAATAAATAGCAATGAATTGCATGGAAAAGATAGGACAAATAAGAAAAACCTTCAAAGGATAGCCCAAGCAAACGATTGCGGAAATACTAACATCTCCTGCACTAGCAACCATGCAGCTGACCCTGCAAAAAAAATTATGTTAGTATAGCAGAATCTTTAATAAGAAATTGCTAACAAATTAACTTCTAAATAAGCTTCTAGTGTTGTTACACATACCTGGAACCCATGGATTTGCCAACCAAGACCAAAGGATGCCCAGGATGTTTTAGCAAAGCAGATTTTATAACCTCCAGATGATAATCTATTAATTTTTCAGCTTTAGGAGGAGCTTTCCGTTTTCCACCAGAAATATCTGACAAACAGTTAACAACATAGTTCTCGAAAAATTCAGTTAAGTCAAGGACAACACCAGCAAACTGATTTGAGAATTAAATGTCCTGCTCAACAAAGCATCATGTTTCCTGTCCTCCATATGCCATCTAATAAACATTTTTTAAAAATAAATCAGCACATAGTGCATGAAGAGAGATTATTCCTAAGATATGGATGTTGCATTGCTTGATAAACCTTGGAAGAAAACAAAGGAAACTAGATGATAAGATTTGTAAACAATAAAAAATCAAGACCATGAAGAAATGAATTGAACGGGTAAATTGCTCCAAGATTGCTCACAAGGATAATCAAACGTGACCACTTCAACAGCTCCCAATGCTTCTTCTAGCATTTTCTTCCACCTGAAATGATATTGCCAATATTCCACATTAAAACAACACTAGAAAACTTTGGAAAAACTGAGAGCACATAAAGCACACTTAAGGACTATAATGTTGACTTAAACCTTACTCATACAATGAAATCAAAATTTTAAAAAACCAAACAACTTCTAATAACATTGTGATAAGACTTGATAATCAAAACAACACACAACAATATAAAAAAACAGTAACTTACTCTAAATAGATCCAGAAATAACACAAAGTGATGCGGACATCTGACGGTGGACGATATTCAAAGGAAGAGTCGAAGATCGATAGCCGAGATCACTCCGTTTTATTTATTAATTGTATTTTGATTTAATTTTGCAATTTTCATTTTTTACTCTTTTTATTTAAGAGTCTTGTCTTATGTAAGCCCAAGGGGGCAAATTCGTCTTTTAGTTTCTTTTGAGGCTTATATATAGAGGCTCCTTCTCTTGTATTAGGTATTATAGAATTATAATAAAAATTTGTGTTCTGCACTTGTGTTCTTTTGAGAGAACATTAGTGAGATTCATATGGGAAAGAATCGGAGTTTTCACCAGCCGCAGAATGGGTTCGGGCTCATGACTTGAAGTACCTTGGAAAAGGACAACGTATCACCCGTCAGTCTTCGGAAGAGTCCAAGGCTTGCGCTTTTGTCTTCTTTTTTTATTTTTATTATTATTATTCTCCTTGTTTTCCTAACCGCCACTTCCCCGTCTCTCTTTCTCCTATTGGCCGAAAACTCCACCCAAACCCTAGGCCAAAAGACACCCAACCCCCGGCCCAACCCCCTTCCCAAAGCCGTCAGCCATCATCCATCCCTTGGCTCCAAAATTCAAAATCTAGCATTCAAATCCTTTCCTAAATTAGCTCCCTTTAATTTTGAAAACTATTTAAATTCATATTCAGTTGAATTTGAATTTGAATTTTACTTCATAAATGAGAAAAACTATTTTAGGGAAGTCCCTCAAATCATGCAATTTTGAATTTTAAATAGGAGTTGATTTAAATCGACTTTCCTATTTTAAAATTCTAAATATAGCCACCGTTAACCCCTCATATCAATCACCCATAATCATGCTAGCTGACGACCCTACCCCCCTTCCTATTTCCTCTTTCCCTCCACTTTTCAAATTGATTATTGAAGGCATTCCTTATTCGATGCATCTTAAGTTTGGAAAGTTTTTAAATTCAAATTTAAATTAATTTGAATTTGAAATTCCTTCTTAAAATAGGATAAATTTTATTAGGAGGCTTTCTTTAATTCTCCCAATTTGAATTTAATTAAAGACCTGTCATAATTCCCCTTTCCTTATCTTAATAATTCAAATTTGGAAATTCCTTGGACACATTCACCGTATGTGGACACATTCAACATATGTGGACGCCATCCCTTTTTCCCCATTTTTGCCTGACCCCCTCCGTTCTACATCACAAAGAGAGCTGTTTTACTAATTTACAAACAAAGCAAGACAAGATACAAATTGATTCAATCATGCCACCTCATATTCTGGTAAATCATTCCCCTTGATCAGCACCTCCTTGATCCCCTTATCTCCTTGGCACACTCATTTCACCACCAATGGTTCTAATATCACCTCTATATCCTCTAATAATGCGGCCAATAGTGCGGGCGAGGGTATATGGTTTCCAAAGGCTTGTCTCAATTGAGATACATGAAATAAGGGATGGATTGCTAAGATCGATGGCAATCGTCGGCAATATGCTACTGAGTCAATGTATTCCACTGCCTCATAGGGCTCAAAGTAGCGGGGGGTAGGGATGTCAATATTTGACACAACCCCAAACATGACACAAACCCGACCCAAAAATCTCGGGTTAGGGTCAACCCAGAACCGAAATGGGTCGAGTTCGGGTTCAACAAATTGACCTGTTTCAACAATCAGGTCGAGTTCGGGTTGACCCAAAAATCAACTCATTTTTCACATGTTTTTGAACCGAAAACCGATTTTTGACCCAGAAAATCAAGATTGACCCGTCTTTGACTCAAAATGAGGAGATTGGCCTATTTTTTTACCAAAAAACTAGCAATTTTGATCGGCCTCGAGTCATTCGGGGCATGTCGAGTTGACCCGGACCTGAAGCAGGTCGGCCTCGGGTACGAAAAACTGACCATTTGCAAAGAGTCAGGTTCGGGTTGACCCAAATAGTGTCAAGTCATTTTCGGGTTCGACCCAAGCCCGACCCATAACCCGAAATTGCACCCCTAGCTGGGGGAGAGCTCATTCCTTCGTTGAGCCAAAGTCCTATGTTTGTAAGGTCGAATCTTAAAAAAAAATCATGTCCCTAATCTTAAACTACACATCTCTCCTATGTCTATCCACCTTCTTCTTCATGATTTGTTATGCTCTATGTAGATGATCCTTCAATTCTACCAAAATCCGGTCTCTTTCTCCCAAGTATTATTCCACTGATGACACTGGTGTGTTTCGAAGCCCATAATGTATCAGATGAGGTAGATCCCTCTCATATATAATTTTAAATGGCGTTATCTTAGCTATTGTATGATATTAAGTGTTATACCAATATTCCGCCCTGGCTAACCATTTGGCCAACATTTTTTGTGTATCAGATACAAAGCAACGAATATAAGTCTCCACATTGTGATTCACCACCTCCGTCCGACCATCCGTCTAGGGGTGGTAAGTTGTACTCCTCTTCAGGATAGTCCCCTGCATATTGAATAACTCCCTCGAGAAGGGACTCAAAAAAACCTTATCCCAATCGGACACAATAGAATCAAATATGCCATGCAAACGAACAGCCTCGCTAATGAATGTGGCTGCCACCAACACCACAGTGTAAGGGTGGCGTAACGGAATGAAAAGAGCATATTTGTTCAATCTGTCCACCACCACTAGAATCACATTAAACCTGTCAAATCTAGGTAGTCCTTCAATGAGGTCCATAATCACATCTTCCCACACCTTCTTGGGTAATGCTAACAGCTGTAGAAAAACACATAGAGCCATAGCTAGGTATCTCTGTCTCTGACACACATCACAACTGGTCACCAACTCTTCTACATCCTTCTGCATGCCCACCCAGTATAACTCCGCTGTCAGTATATGATATGTCTTCTGAACTCCTGGTCCCCCAATAGCTATGCCATGAAACTCCTGCACAAATGAGAGATGTGTAGCGATTTCCTCGAAAGCACAAACTGTCCCTGGTATAGCAGTTTCTGACCCATCAAAGATAACCAGGATGGCAATCCTTATTCTACAACAAATCTCCTCTGATCTTACTCAGCTCCTCATCCTGCTCGCACTTATGCTTCAAGGCCTCCCAATCCACCACCATGGGAATATATAGATCCATAACACGAGGGTCTTCACTATGTCTGGAGAGAGCATCTGCTGCTTTATTTTCTAACTCGAGCTTGTACTAGATCTCGAAGTCATAACCCAACAACTTGGAAAGCCACCGTTGATACTCCTCTATTACCATCCTCTGCTCTAACAGGAACTTCAAACTTCTCTGGTCTATCCTGACTATGAAGTGTCATCCCAACAGATAAGGTCGCCACTTTTGTATTGCCAACACTATCGCCATCAGCTCTCTTTCATGCACTGATTTTAGCCTGGCATTAGCGGTCAAAACCTTGTTGAAATAAGCTATAGTCTCTGACTCTGCATAAAAACTGCTCCTAACCCATAAACTGATGCATCAGTCTCCACTACAAGCCGTTGGCTAAAATCTGGTAGTGCTAACACAAGGACACTCGGCATGACTTTCTTTAGCTGCTCAAATGCTTGGGCGGTTGCCACACCCATTTGAAAATATCCTTCTTCAGTTGCTCTGTCAACGGCCATGCTATAGAACTGTATCCCCTCACAAACTTCCTATAGTAACATGTGAGACCCAAAAACCCTCTTAACTCCTTCAGGGTTTTGGGTAAGGGCCACTCTAACATAGTCTCTATCTTGGAAATATCTGCAGGTACTCCTTGGCCACCACAAGTCCCAAATACTTCACCATATGTTGTACGAAGGAACACTTCTTCAAATTGGCATACAATTAACGCTGCTTCAATGTCACTAACACTACCCTCAAGTGTTCCACATGCTCTGCCTCATACCGATTAATCGAAGAAAACCAATACAAACTTGCAAAGTTAAGGTTGAAATACTTTGTTTATAAAAGATTGGAAGGTAATTGAGGCGTTGGTAAGCCCATAAGGCATCACTAAGAACTCGTAGTGGCATTCGTTTGTCCTAAAAGCAGTGTTTTGGATGTCAACGGGCCACATTCTAATCAAATGATATCCCGATTTCATGTCAATATTGGAGAACAACATCGCTCCATATAACTCATCCAACAACTCATCAAAGACCGGTATAGAAAACTTATCAACACTATTTTCTTATTAAGAGCCCAATAATCTATACAAAATCTCCAATTATCATCCTTCTTCTTCACCAACAACAACAGACTGGAGAAGGGACTAATACTGGGACGAATGATCTGGGCCTCCATCAATTCCTTGATCAGTCTCTTAATTTCATCTTTCAGAACCTGTGGGTACTGATAGGGTCGAACACTAATAGGGGATACCCCCACCTTTAGGATGATGGCATGCTCATGCTCCCTTGGGAGAGTTAGGTCTTAAGGCAGTAGGAACACCTCATTAAATTGTTGTAGGAGTGCTGGACTATCTCTGGAACCTCCTCTTTCCTCATACTTCCTCATCTCTCAAGGCTCTGGAGCTCCACTAAGAATCTCATCCCTACTCCATGGATTGCCCTCACCATGACCTTGACTATGGAATTCATGGTGAGAGGGAGGAAGGTAAGTATCTCTCCACCCTACAGATCCACCCATGAGCATCTCCGCATAATTCCCCTACAGACCTGTCATAATTCCCCTTTCCTTATCTTAAAATTCAAATTTGGAAATTCCTTAAGTCCACATTCATCGAATGTGGACACATTCACCGTATGTGGACGCATTCACCATATGTGGACGCCTTCCCTTTTTCCCCTCTTTTGCCTGACCCCCTCCGTTCTACATCACAAAGAGAGCTATTTTATTAATTTCTAAAAAAAGCAAGACAAGATACAAGTTGATTCAATGTTTTAGAGGTGAATCGTCTCTCCCACAATTCCTAGCTGCTACTAGGAACCCAAACACCTCCAAAAACTGCTGCATAAATTCAAAACATAACATAAAAAAACCCCAACCCACTATAATCTCCCCCACCCCCCTTAAACAGCTCAAATTCCCTAATAAATGGCCCTTACATCTAATATATGCCCTTTACATCTTTCCCAAAGAGTCCCCCCTTCCCAAATAGTTTCCTCCCAAAACCTCTTCTCCTATATATGATAAAAGAGGTCTTAGGCCCCACCAAGGCAGCTGGACTACTGCTGTCAGCTGCATCAATACTCCCCTCTCAAAAAATCACCTTGTCCTCAAGATGAAAAAGGGAAAATTGCTTCTGAATAGAACTGTAGGACATCCATGCCACCTCATATTCTGGTAAATCATTCCCCTTGATCAGCACCTCCTTGATCCCCTTATCTCCTTGGCACACTCATTTCACCACCAATGGTTCTAATATCACCTCTATATCCTCTAACAATGCGGCCAATAGTGCGGACGAGGGTATATGGTTTCGAATGGCTTGTCTCAATTGAGATACATGAAATAAGGGATGGATTGCTAAGATCGATGGCAATCGTGGGTGATATGCTACTGAGTCAATGTATTCCACTGCCTCGTAGGGCTCAAAGTAGCGGGGGGTAGGGGTGTCAATATTTGACACAACCCCAAAACATGACACAAACCCGACCCAAAAATCTCGGGTTAGGATCAACCCAGAACCGAAATGGGTCGAGTTCGGGTTCAACAAATTGACCTGTTTCAACAATCAGGTCGAGTTCGGGTTGACCCAGAAATCAACTCATTTTTCACATGTTTTTTAACCGAAAATCCATTTTTGACCAAGAAAATCAAGATTGACCCATTTTGACCCGTCTTTGACTCGAAATGAGGAGATTGACCTATTTTTACCAAAAAACTAGCAATTTTGATCGGCCTCGAGTCATTTGGGTCATGTCGAGTTGACCCGGACCTGAAGCAAGTCGGCCTCGAGTACGAAAAACTAACCATTTGCAAAAAAGAGTCAGGTTTGGGTTGACCCAAATAGTGCCAAGTCATTTTCGGGTTTGACCCAAGCCCGACCCATAACCCGAAATTGCACCCCTGGCTGGGGGAGAGCTTCTCATTCCTTCGTTGAGCCAAAGTCCTATGTTTGTAAGGTCGAATCTTTAAAAAAAAAAATGTCCCTAATCTTAAACTACACATCTCTCCTATGTCTATCCACCTTCTTTTTCATGATTTGTTATGCTCTATGTAGATGATCCTGTTCGACACAAACCAGAACAATCACTGATTATCCTACTATCTTTCCCCTCACCTTCATGGTCTCATTTGAGGTAAACCACACCACTAAGTTTTAGGAAGACCTCCGCCACATCTAGGTGCAAATGCTCCTCCTCAACCACCTCCTCCTCAAGAGTCTCCCTATCACAGACTGTAAGTACCTACAGGGAACGATCCTTGCAACAGTGGCCCGACGCAAATTTCTCATCACAGCGTAAACACAATCTCCTAGCCCGCTTCTCTTGAACTTCTGCCTCAGTCAACCGCTTGAAATTTCCCCCTGGTCATGTTCCTAATCCCCTATCATTGGGTACTTCTCTTTGAATGGGCACAAGTTGTACCTTTGGTGCCAAAAAAAATAATGGTCGTCCGATATGAAGCTCCCAAATTATTGTCTTTGCTGCTTCTCTCAAATAAGTTTTTGCTCTCCACCAACTAGGCTAGCTCCATAGCCTCCCCCAACCCTCGTGGCCTCAATAACTAGACAACAACCCTGATCTCTGGCTTGAGTCCCTCATGAAATTCTCCTCTAACACTGTCTCAAAAAGCCTCCCCAATCGGCTAGAAAGATACTCAAATCTCACCCGATAATCCATCACAGTCCCTTCCTAAACAAGAGTAAAGAACGGCTCGTAAAAGTCTCCTTCCCAATTGGTTCGGAAATGTTCTAATAAACTATCTTTGATCTCCCTCCACGATCGAATTGGTTCTCTTATGTCTCATCATTGATACTAAAATAAGGCCTTCCCTCCATCGCCGTGAGTCCCTCTTCCTCCGTCAGCCCATTCACTGTAAAGTATCTCTTCACCCTACAGATCCACCCATGCATCTTCAAAAAGTTAAAAATTTAAAACCCCAGATAGATATCTAGGGCCAATAATGAAACTTATCATTTCCTCCTTCCTGCTGGATTAAAGATTAGGATACAATGTGCAAAGGGGTGGATCTATAGTGGGGGCCCTGGGGACACGGGCCTCCACTGATCCGTAAAGCGAAAGTAAACTTGAATTATGGATGTTAACATTAGAGATTAAAGGTTTTCGCTTGAATAGATCTAAAATGGAATATATGGAGTTAATTTTAGTAGTAATAGACCTAGTGAGGGGATTGTGACTTTGGGTGATCAAGTCATTAATAAGAGTACACGTTTTAGATATCTTGGATCTATTATTCAGAGTGATGGTGAAATAGATGGGAATATTATCAGCAGAATTCAAGTTGGATGGTTGAAGTGGAGGAATGCATCGGGCTTGTTGTGTGATAGAAAAGTACCTCTCAAACTTAAGGGAAAATTCTATAAGATGGTAGTGAGACCTGCAATGCTTTATGGTGTTGAATGTTGGCCATTAAAAGAGAAGCATGATACTAAGTTAAGTGTGGCAGAGATGAGGATGCTCAGGTGGATGAGTGGCTTTACCCTTAGAGATAGGATACGAAATGAGCATATATGTGAAAAGGTTGGAGAAGCTCCAGTAGAAGATAAGATTAAAGAGAGACGCCTTAGATGGTTTGGTCACATAAAACGGCGGCCTTCCAATGACCCGGTTAGGAGAATAGAGTTATTAGATTTGACTTATGTTAAGAAAGGTAGAGGCAGACCTAAAAAGACTTGGTTTAAAAAATATTAGGAATGACCTTTCTTTATTAGATTTAAACCAAAATTTGATCTTTAATAGGACACAATGGAGAAAAAGGATTCATGTAGCCGACCCCACGTAGTGGGATAAAGGCTTGTTGTTGTTGTTGTTGTTCCACTATGAAATAGAATGTTAAAAAAATAATCCAAAAGAGATTTATAGTATTTTAAAATATGATAAAAAATTTTGGCTCCACCTCTATACGCAACAGGGGATAATGTACAAAGGAGTACTACATCAATAGATCTTTCAAGTTCCTCAGAAGGGGAACAAAATTGAGGAGGAAGACATGGTGGCAGACTGCACAAAGGGGAGAAATGAAACTTTCCACAAGCTTGAAAATGAGAAGCCTGAGAACACGAGAATGATATGCAGCGAGAGTGCAACGCCCAGTTTGCCTGGGATGAGAACGCAATTGGAGAAAAAGTTGCAAGGCACAACGCAAATACGGCAAAGTCGCGCTTTAGCTCAACCAAGATTACGCCAACTTTGCCAAATACCGAGCTATGACACAAAAACTGATTTCCGAGGCCCTTAATCTCCCTGGAGTAATTACTCGAAACCCAATTTATATCCTCATGATTGAGCCAAAATCAGCCGGCAAAACAGATATAAACCATTATTCGCGCATAACAATGCCCATCAAATTCAGAGACCGAACAAAGATATCCATGAACTACACAAGTTACCATGTGTTCCCAAAACCTCAGCATAAACATTTGAAAGGAAAAATTTCCCGTCCTAGCTAAATGATAAAAATGAGATGCAGCTTCTTCTATCCAGAAACTTTGAATCAGAAATCACGGTTATACAAAAACCTGATCATCCATTCCGAACTAGATGGAGCCCCGGCGCCATGGGCGAACACAACTAGAGGAGATTTCCCGCTTGTAGGTGAGCCCTCGCCAGCCTTCTCAGCGCTCCGTTCCTCGCTCTCTTCATCATGGCCCTTCCTGTTACGCTTGGATGGACGAGTCGAAGGATCCGAAGCCATAGAACAACATTACCTCTCCGGAAACCCTAAAGTCCCTCGCTTCACCGTACACGATGGATGGGCTGCCTGGCAACGACGAGTAGGAAAAGCGCGGGAAGCCTCGGGGAGCAGAGCGCACACACTTCGAGGGGTAAAAATATTTTTTTTTCTTATTTATATGACGAATTTTTTATTAGCATTTCTTATAATATTATCTGATGTACAATATTTCAAATGAATTTTTAATCGATAATTTTCTGATCTTATTTTTGCTTAGCAAATAACTAATGATAAAAATCTCAAATCAATTACATTTTATTTGGTGCCCCATTTAATGTTATAAATTTTACATTTTATGATTTCATTCTATATTTTTTAATATTTATCTCAACTTATTTATATCTTGTCTAGCTCCGATGATTCAAAGTAAATTCTCTTGATTTCAAAGCTCTACATACTCTCAATGCAAATAGTTTTATAAAGTTATTAACTTAGGTTTCATTTGGAGATGTTATATTATTATTTTTAAATGAGCTTTCTAGTATAAAATATTTTAATTAAAAAAATTACTAATTTTTAAAATAATTTTCTAATACAAAAAATTTTTAAACTAAAAATTTTTGTACTATAAAGGTATTTTAGAAAGTAGTAAGAAAGCTGTCCCAAACAAAGCTTTAGAATTATCAACAACAACAATATCAAACCTTTATCCCACTATATGGGGTCGACTACATGAATCTTTTTTCTCTATTGTGTTCGTTTAAGAGTCAAATTTTCATTTAGATCTAAAAAAAAGGTCATTTGTAATATTTTCTACCCAAGGCTTTTTATTCTACCACTACCTTTTTTAACATAGGTTAAATCTAATACATATACTCTCCTAATCAAGCCATCTGAATGCCAACGTTTTATGTAATCAAACCATCTAAGACAACTCTATCTAATCTTATCTATCATTGCAGCTACTTCATCCTTTTCACGTATAAGCTCATTTCATATCATGTTTCTAAGAATAAAGTCACTCATCCACCTGAGCATCCTCATCTCTGCAACACTTAACTTAATATTATGCTTCTCTTTTAATGGCCAATATTTTATGCCAGAAAGCATTGCAACCACCATCTTATAGAATTTTTCCTTAAGTTTGAATGGTACTTTTCTATCACACAACAAGCTAGCCTGATGCATTCCTCCACTTCAACCATCCAACTTGAATTCTACTGAAAATATTCCCATCTATTTTGTCACCACTCTAAACAATGGACCCAATATATCTAAAACGTGTACTCTTATTAATGCCTTGATTGTTCAAAGTCACAAACCCCCCACTAGATATATTACTATTAAAATTACACTCCATTGCAAGCCTTAGAATCATCAAAGTTTGTCAAAGTTAAAACACTCTTTTGGGCAATAGGGTCTCTTTGAGATAATTTTCCTATTGCTTGACTTTTCAAACAGCAATTATAAATTCATTTGACTACTATTTTCTTTTTATTTTCTAATTATTTTTAAAAAAATTTATATAGTGAAAGTGAAATTCTGCTTTTTTTTCAACCAAATTAACTCTACAATTTTTCTCACAGCAACTCCTTGACCAACTTTATAAATATTGCAACCTTCTTAAATAGATTTTTTTTCGGCACTATAAACATTAAGACATTATTATTTGCCTGTAAAATGATTAGATAATTATACTTTCATTCATATATTCAAGAATTTCATAATTGAGTACATGTTATCAAAAATATAATCAATGGGAATCCACCATTAGAATTATTTATCTCAAGATAACCCACCTTAGGATGGTAAGAGAAACTCCTCTAAGGCTTTGTTTGAGACAACCTTTTTATTGCTTTTTTTTTTTTTTTTTTTTTTAAAGAAATGCAGTTTTTTTTTTTTTTTTTTTTTTTTTTGAAGAAATGCACTAGGCAAATTTTTATTTAGAATCCAACAAACAACCTAAGAGCAATCATCACATTCCTTCTTTAACAAAGAAATAAAGGAATGAGGAACATTATTTGAATAAAGAACATCCCAAAAAAAATCTGAAAAAAAAAATATAGTTAGCACATATATATGCTAACTTATTACAACCTCTATTAACAGAAACAAATAAAAGATGTTTGAAATTATTACGAAAATCTAATTCCCTCCAATTATGATTTTCTCCTTTTACTTCACCTTTATTCAGCATAGCTCTACGAAACACTTCAATGACGTTGTTGTTGTCTCCTTCAATATTAATGTCATTAAACTCAAGCATCCAATCTTGAATGAACCTTAATTCGCAATGCAAGAATAGCTTGAACTTCTACTTGAGAGCTATCCCAATAAAGAAAGTTAAAACCAAAGGCACCCATGAATCTTTCATTAAAATCACGAAATACCCCACCTACACTTGCTATGTTCGATCTCCATAAGGAGGCATCCACATTGACTTTAATCCAATTGAGATGTGGGGGTTTTTTGTTTTATTAAGGAGGCATCCACATTTGCTCTGTTCTGTTTTTATTGCTTCTTAAAATAGAGTTTTAGTACAAAATATTTATTAAATTTTGTTTTAAAAAAATAATAAAAAAGTCGTCTCAAACGAAGTCTAAATCTCATTCCATCAACGTTCCCTAATTAGACCTTGTAATCATCACATATGTTTTTTTTTTTAATGATTAACATGACGATCTTGAGATGAACGAAGCACCACATCACCTATCTCGAAAGAATAGGAAAATCTATGAGAAGACATAATGATTACATTCCACAACCATCATTATAAATTTGTTACTCTCATTGCTATGGAGTGTCTCAATACAAAGTTATAATAACAATGAAATCAAGTATTTATCCTACTAAAAGAGAATGATTATATGAATCTTTTTTCTCTATTATGTTAATATAAAATTAAATATATTAATTAAATATACACAGAAGTACCTAACTATGAGAATATATACTATGATGTAATGAGCTATAAAATTGATTATTCCCAAGAGATTCTATTGTTGTCATTAGTTCTAGAATTTGAGTATATAGAATTAGGCTTCGTTTGGGACGGCTTTTTTATTGTTTTATAAAACGGAGTTTTAGTACAATTTTATTTATTTTTGTACTAAAACTCCGTTTTAAAAAGCAATAAAAAAGCTGTCCCAAACGAAGCCTTAGATAAGTAGCATCCCTTTTTCATGTTACTGCCACCACTACTTTAAGCTTGTATTCTATTTTATGCTATAGGAGATTGGGTTTGCGGCCGAGTGGTCGATAAAAGAAATTCTACCCATCTCATTCAGGCTTCAATCTCTTAACTGTCCCCAAAAAAAAATTATGCTATAGCAGTACCATGTTGCCTTTTTAGTTGTTTTTCCTTTTCTTAGCAACTAAAAAAACTACAACCAAAAATATAATATATAGAAAATGAAAGAAGAAGAAGAAAATTAACATATATGAGATTTATCATTATCATTTGAGCTTATCCCTTTCTCTACCTATTTCCAATGACTATCACATCAAGTTGGTATCAGAGCTTGGCCTTGTGGAGTATGGCGTAGTGCAGCAAACACACGGCCAGTGACGGCATTCGCAACCTCGAGGCTCTTTGGGCAGCATAGTCTAAAACATCAAGGCAGCTCAACAAGCTAGCCTCCTAATTTTTTCAAGTATCTATAGAAGTGCGTCGAGAACCTCAATCCATCAAGACGAGACAGGTTCCAAGAGAATGAATTTTGTCATAGTGCTGGTAACCACACCTGCTATCGTGCGAAGCAGCAATCCAGATCGTGGACAAAATAAACTCGATCAGCCAACATCTAAACTTACATATTCTGAAGAAGAATGTATGAATTATGATTGAGATGACTTGGTTGAATCTGAAGAAGATAAATTGCCATGTGAGAATTTCAGATGTGGTGTCCAATGACATATAATCGGTACCAAGGTGAGTTTTGACTAAAGCTCAACATTCCATTTTTCAACGGCTGGTTTCATATTGAAGATTATCTTGATTGGGAGCAAACCATTGAAAACTTCTTCAAGTATATGGAGATAAAACCGGACAAATAGGTAAAATATGTGGCATTCTAATTAAAAGGGGGCGTCAATTCCTAGTGTTTACAATTGTTTCAGTCACACCGGTGTGAGGGTACTAGCTAGTTGATTCAGCCCAGTTTGAGTCCTTGTGTCATTCTTGTTTTACTTGTGCCAAAAAAATATGGAAGTTGGAGGATGTGTATAGATAACAGAGCTATTAATAAAATAACAGTTAAATTTTGGATTTTGGTGCAGTCCGATGAAGAATTGCTAGACAAACTTTCGGGTTCCATCTTTTTTTTTTTAAAAATTGGATTTCGTAGTGGTTTTTATCAAATTAGAGTCCATCACAGAGATAAGTACTAAATAGTGTTTAAAATAAGACAAGGACTTTATGAGTGGAAAGTAATGTCATTTAGGTTATGCAATGCTCCATTGACATTCATGAGATTGATGGACAAGATACTTAAACCTAATTTCAAGAACAAATTATGTGTTGTTTATTCGACGATATACATATGTATAACAATAACTTTGTGGAACACCACTCACATCTTAAAGTGATATTTGAGTCCTTATGTTATATGTGGAATCTGACTGTGTTGATCAATCTGATTATTATGTTATCTCGTAACTCAAAGCTTTTCATGTTTGCTGGGAGGTGTGAGCAGTTTACCCCCTGCTTGGGTTATTTATTTTTTTTTTTCGAACAACACACTGATGCTATGTACCTGAGCGCCCCGGTGCTACGTACCAGAGTGCCCCAACGATGTGTTCCCAAGTGCCCCGACCTGGCCTGAACGACATAAAGCAGAGTGCCACTGCGATATATATAAGGCGTTGCAATGGATCAAGAAAGAGATTCAAGCGCTGCAACACTTCAAACTGGCGTCGCAGCACTGTGAGACATACATGACGGTTTTCTTTCTCATTTTTCTGAAGGGCCGGGTTCCATCCCTTGGGGTTATTTTACTTTGCTTTCTCTTATATTTTAAGTGTGTAGACATTGAGAACGGTGCATGTGAGAAGAGAAGCAAAGAGAGAATGAGATAGAAGAGAGATCCGTACGTACTTATTTCTCTCTATTTTCA